AGCACTTGGTCTTCAGAAGTAATGTCTTCAGATCTTCAGAGCTTGTTCAACAAAACCTTATCTTCAGCATATTTAGAACTTGTAAAGTCATAATCAAAAGCTCTTGTACTAATGTTCCATAGGACCGTTGCATAAGAAGCATGATAGAATCTTGACTTAACTTTGTAACACACCATAGGTATTCTTCCAGAGTGTTGAGTTCAGAACATGATGACGTTAGACGCCTTCTACCATAGTCAGAACCTGTTTAGAAAAAGTTACACACGAGACATAAATCATTAAAGTACACAATTGTTCTCTAAGATACCATGTAAAGTTATCATCAAAACTTAAGGCATGCATAACCAATCTTGTTCTTACTTAGGGTAGCTTAGTTGTGTTGTTAGATAGTACTCACTATTCATCATAACACTTGTGTGATTTATTATAATTTCTAACATCACAAGAAGATAAAGGGTAACACCTATAAAGATAGATTCATGAAAGATAAAATAAATAATTGAAACCTATTTGATTGTGCAGTCTTGTGAAGTACTAATGTTAATTAGAGAAACACGATACACCATAAGGTATGGTGTACTTAAGTGGAATACAAAACAACGTAAGCTATGGTGTACTCGTGAATTAAAGAAAACCGTAAGGTATGATGTAACTAAGTTAGATATGGAACACTATATGGTAGGATGCACTTAAGTGGACTTGTTTAGCTTGCATCCTACACAGTTTTTTCCTAAATAGAACCCTTGTGCTGAAGTATTTATACTTGATGAAATTTAATTTATGAAACCCCAAAATTATTTTCTCCCTCCCTCTCTCTCTCTCTCTCTCTCTCTCTCTCTCTCTCTCTCTCTCTCTCTCTCTCTCTCTCTCTCTCTCTCTCTCTCTCTCTCTCTCTCTCTCTCTCTCTCTCTCTCTCTCTCTCTCTCTCTCTCTCTCTCTCTCTCTCTCAAATTCTTCATTCTGAAAAGGTGGAACTAAGATTAAAGGCACTCTGTTTGTATAGACTGAGTACAAGTATTGTTGTTTATTCAAAGCTCATGATTGTTATCTAGATTATGCATCAACAATTAATTTCCACAAGAGGTAACCATTTTATCAGTGATTAGGCTCATTTGTAAGGATCAACTTCAGGTAAATTTTTTGTTTTTTGCTACGTATTTTAATCATAATTTTCTTTCAATGGTTTTTGAGCCACTTATGAAAATCATGTGTCAAGTAGTTGTTTATTTTCTATACCTTTTGTTTTAATTGAGTTAAACATGCATATTGAGTTAAATAATAAAAAGGAATTAAATATTGACATCATTATTTACAAAATGTAGATCTTCAATATTGACTATACTTTGTGACTGACTTTTGTATGGTGAAGCAACAATACTTTTATCATCTATAGTGAAACAAATATGTTGATCGATTTATATACGATATACATAATTCTAGTGAAAATAATGTGTAATTGATACATTGTTTTATTTCAGCTATTCGGCCAGTATAATGATTGTTATATATTTGAATGATCAATGTTGATTATGCTTCGTGACTGAAATTTGTACGGTGAAGCAGTGAAATTTAGATCAATCATATTGAATAACCGATAATTAAGTATTTGATGGTATGAATGTGTTACATTAGAGCTTATGATGGTGTGGGGTTTGTGTTGTAATGAATCATATTATTAGGGTTTATGACGACCCGATTGTTATTGTCATGAATCATATGATTAGGGTCTAGGACAATGCAAGGGTTGTGTTATTATAAATCATACAATTAGGGTTTGTAAACAGTGCATAAGTTATACGATTGGGGTTTATAAAAGTATCAACTGTTAATGAATAAACGACGTTGATTCAAAATGATTTTTCATTAAGAATGAGCTTCCGGGAACTGTTTCAGAAACCCTGCAAGGGGTGCTACCCCCTGGAACCATCCTTCATTGATCGGGTAGCAGAATTCCCGACTAACTCTGTGTGGTGTGATCAATCACACAAATTTAATTTAATTTATTTAATTAATAGAATTAAATAATAATAATAATAATAATAATAATAATAATAATAATAATAATAATAATAATAATAATAATAATAATAATAATAATAATAATAATAATAATAATAATAATAATAATAATGAAAGCGTGTTTATTATTGTTGTCTTTTGGTGAGTGGTTATGACCTTTGTTTTTTTTACTTGTTTTTGGGAATTTTTAAATACAACATGCGCGTTGTGCCTTTCTCTCTAGTTTTTATATATAATTTATTCTCTCATCTCATTTTCACATATGTAAAACGAGTATTCTTTTATGTAATTTAATTATAAAAGAGAAGAATACAAGATCAAATAAGGACAACAATAAAGGTCCAACTTGGAGAAGAATAGTTTGTTTTTAGGTTTAGCTTAGATTCTCTCATTGACTTATGGAAACAATTATGTTAGGGATCATAATTGTATCATTTTATGTTATATGAATGTCAGTGCGTGTGAATGTATGTTAATGCACGTGAAAGGCGATTTATATGATAAATAAGTCGGTAAGATCAAATTAATTACAAATTCCCTAAAAATAAATATTAATTTTAAGTTTTTCAATATTTACTATCGTCAAGGCTAATATCAAATAATTCAGATTTTACATACTATGAGGTGCATGTTCTATATTAGTAAGGTGTGATGAGATAAATGTAATATTCATTTCCTAAATATTAGGTTTAACTTAACTAAACTAATTATAATAAGATTATATGTGTTTAGAAGTTAGAGTTGTGAATAATCTATATGATAGATTAAAATAAGGAGTTATTCGTACAACTAATTAAACTCGAGAGTTATATTAAATAAAATTGGAAGGGGTTCCTACCTAAATAATTGAGTTGTAATCAATCTATCGCTATCTTAAAACAAAGTGAATTAAGTATCTCAATCCACTAGAAAATATTCCAACGAGATTTTGTAAATCAAATCTTAAGGATCATTTGGTTTTTGTAAGATAGTGTGGAAACATATTTAACTATAAACCTAATTGAACATGTTTTTTAAGGATACTTATATATTCAAAAATTTTGATATGTAGATTATCATGTGAACAAACACTTCAAAAAAAAATTGCAATCAATTCATGAAAAGAAAAACTGTCTGAGACATATTTTTTAAGTTGGCCACGAAAATTAAGGATTGCCCTCAAACATGATAAAAATTTGCATGTCTTAGAGAAACTTGTTCTCAGAGAGAAGACATCCAATTATGCTCCTAATGCTTAAAGAGATGCTTATAAGAAGAATGTTGACGGCGCTTTAGAATATGCATGCCTCATGCCGGCTACCATGAGTTCTGAATTGTAAAAGCAACATGATAACATGGTAGCGTTCGATATGATTAGACATCAAAATATGATACATCAAGAGGAGGCTAGGCATGAGAGATTTGAAGTTTCCAAAGCCCTATCCCAATTCAATCTAACAGAGAGAGAGAGAGAGAGTCCTTGTAGGTCCCTATGTACTCAAGATGATTGGAGATGTGGAGAACCTTGAGAGATTAGGTTTTCTCTTCAGAAAAGACCTTGCAACTTATTTTATTATGCAATCATTGTCAAAGAGCTTTAGTCATTTTTCCTTAATTTTAATATGAATGATATGGATAAAAGTCTATTTGAGCTACTAGACATGTTGAGAATCTATATGCATAATTTAAAATCAAAAGTGAAGACCTTTCTCATATTCAATAATGGAGAGAAGTAGAAGAAAAAGCCTAATAAGAAGGATAGTAAAGGCAAAGCAAGAAAGTTGTAAGACTCAAACTTACTACTCGTGCTTTGATTCCCATCGAAGGTATAGCTAAGAAAGACATTTTCTTATATTGTGGTAAGACCATATATTAGAAGAGAAATTGTCGAAAGTACCTAGAAAATAAAAATAATGGAGTAGAGACTTTAAGTTTAGGTATTTTGTTATAGAAATAAATTTATCTACTTTTTTTATCAAGGGTATTTAATATTGGATGTAGTTGTCACATTTTTAATGTGTACTACCATTTGTACTAATGTGTAGGAAAAAAAAGGAGTAGAGAATTAGAAAAAAATGTGAAGTTAATCTAACAGTTGGCAATGGAGAAAAAAGTTGTTGTTTTAGCCGTAAGAACTTATGTATTGAATTTACCTTATGGTTTATTAATTTAATGGAAAATTGTTATTATAAGTAGTTGCAATTAGGTGGAATATTATTCCTGATTATTATTTAGACAAGTTTGATTTTTCATTTATATAGAGAATACTTGTTGCTCTATTTATTTAAATGGTATATTCAATGTTACTGCACAAATGAGTAATAGAGTGTACGTTCTTGATCTTGAAATGCTAATTTATAATATTAATACTAAAATGATGAAATTTAACGAATTAAATCCGACTTGCTTGAGAAATTATCACTTAGACTACATAAATGAGAAACACATTTTCAAACTCCATAAATATGGACTCTTGAATTCTTTTGATTATGAATCTTATGAGACCTGATATCTTGTTTATTTAAAAAGGTGATAAAGTTCACATTCACATGAAAAGATAAAAGGACCCGTGCTCTTTTGGCCTTTATACATATGCTAATGTATGTGGACCACTAAATACATCAATGGGAAAATGTTTTCATTACTTCATCATATTATTAATAATTACATTAGATCATATTATTAATAATTACATTAGATATGATTATGTGTATTTGATGAAATAGGAATCTAAAATCTTTTAAAAAATTTAAGAAATTCAAAAATAAAGTATAAAACCAACTAGGAGTGAAACTTATTCAATTGTCGGTCTTGTGAAGTATTGGTGTTAATTATAGAAACACGGTACACCATAAGGCTACTATAATGTACTTAAATAAATTATGGAACACCGTAAGTTGCATTTTTTTTAATCGCAATTTCCCTTTAGAATCAACTTTCACGCACAAGATGAAGTTTTTGGTACGAGAGAAGATGAATTTTTCCAAATATAACTCACTTGATCATTGACCTGATTGTGAAAAAGTGAAGAGAAATTTTTTATATATGTGCTTGAGAAAATACACAAAGTTAGAGAAAAATCAAATCATAATGATTCAAGTAAACAACATGGAATGAATCGAATCAAGCAACAAAAAGAACTAAGTTTTTAAAATCATAAGTTGAATCACATAAATCAATTCATAAAATTCCATGACTCGAGTCACATTTCCAGAACTAAAAACTAACTTCAAAGATTCATAGTCACCTTTGAGTCAAGTCACATTTCTATAATTAAAATGTGATATGCAAAAATCTGTGTGACTCTTCAAAGAAAAGCTTAGTTATGTTTCCTTAACTCGGACTTTTTGAAAAACATTATTACATGACTTAATTCACACTAGGAGTAATTTTAGTCAACCCTATTTTTTATGTTTGACAAAATTTTGAGTATTCGAGTCATAGAGCTAAGCCCCCTACATTCAATACTCATGTGGAAAAAAATGAGTTTAATCTCATAAAACTTTCACCCTTTGAAAAAATCAAAAAGAAAGAGGCAAATAAAACAAGAGAAACAGCAACACCACAAATATAAACCCTAATCTAAAGTATCCACATCTAGATTAATTAGTCTCTTAGTAAAAACATGCACTTACATAAACATTGTTATAAAGTGTGATTTCATCAAACAAATATAATATATTCATCCCAAAATCTAATAACTATAAATCTCAACCATGAAAATCCTAAATTCAACCATTTATTTCCCTTTTATATTTTATTATTTTAAGATTAAATCAACAACATTTTTATGATTTTTAGTATATATTATCTAAATACGTTATTTATTCAATATATCTAAAAAATAAATATTTTTTTTATAAATACGATCTCATGTAGTATTTAGAAAATTGAACAAATAAAAACAATACTTACATAGATTATAATCAAAGTATTAAAAGTACTTAAACATAATTAACCTTAAAGTGATAAAAAAAAAGTGATACTATATGCTATCTAAAGTCTAAACTATACCAAAAAATTAATATATTTAAATGATTAGAGGAAGGAATAGATCCTCTATGTCTCAAAGTGGTCACATATATACCCCACTAAAATCACTCAAAAAGAAAAATAAAGGTTCGCTAATCCCCAACATCTATCGTGTGCCCTATTGTACATTTCTTCTACCTATAGTTGGTCAAATTAAATAAATTATAATAGGTGTCTCTTCATAAAACATAGGGATTGCAAAAATTAAAACTCTTTATTCTGAGAACCAAAAAGAGTGATGAAGACGAGATTTTACCCAAATTAACACTTTTTTAAAACAAATTTGCCCGCTCGATGAATTATTTAAGAAAATTTTCTACATACATGCATGAGAATCTCTCATATATTTGTTTATCTATCTCTTCAAAAATAATAAGTAAAATAACTTCTTTGTAGAAATAATAAATAGTTAAATATATTACTAATTTTTCAATGGACATTGTTCACTAGTAGGTAGAGATTTGAAAAGTTTCCAATATGGATGGACATAATTAACCTAACTAAATTGGAAGCAAGAATTAATGTAGGAAACAAATTAGTATTAGTGAAAAAATTCAAATATTTTTGTAAGTAAAAATTAAAAAAAAAAAGTTTAGTGACAGGAATTATTAATTACATTGTCTGCCATTAATTTATCCTTTATTTGGTCATTTCCCTTCAAGTGAAGTGACAGCACTACTGCAAAACATATGAAGCAGTATATAGTATCATAATATCATATCATCAATCAAATTGACCAAGTCAGCAGTAGTAACTCTTGATGCAAGAAGAAAAGAAACAAATCAAATTCTCATGTCTTCTGATTAAGTTTAAAGGGCCCTATCATTCTTTAATCAAAGGACCCTATCAACTAGACAATGTCATGTACTATACTATAGTTTTTCTTCACAAGAGTAAAGTATACAGTATTAGTACTAGTTTAAATTAGTAACTGACTAGGTAAAAAATCAAGCCAAAATATGGTATATAATATGTAAATATAAAATTAAAAGATTGATATCTGATTTTGCAACCGACTAATTCGCAAAGGTTTATTTAAAATCAGAGCAGAGTTCTATATGAACGGACCCAAATCAAAAACTCAAAACACATATTACATATACATTGTTAGCCTCTATCAAGATTCAAACGCTTTCGATAAGTCAACCCTAACGGTTAGGAAATAATATGAATTATTATATTATATATAATTATTAGTAGCTTTTGGTTATTAACTAAGATCATGTTCTTATTGTACATTAATTAATTTACTTTCAGCAGTCACCACTACTTTTCTGCAACTTCAACTAAAAGCTCACTGCAAGTACACTATTAATTAACTGTTGTCATTATATAACCAGATTCATAATTTTATCTTTAATTTCTGCTTTTGCAGCATCAAGCAGAATACATACATACTACATATATAAATACAATACAACAAATTAATGACAACCAGAATCTTGCACAAAAATTAAATGACAAAATAATAAAACCCTAAACCTACTAGTACTTAAATTAATAAGAAAATAAATATTCATGCAGATAAAGTAGAGATAGATAGAGAGATTGAAATTTTTTTCCATGGAATATGAGAAGAGTGAAGAGCCATTTATTGAGTTGCACCTGGAGGTGGAAGCTGATGTTGATGGTGACAAAGATGAAGAGGCAATTGCATTGGTAATTGTTGAAGCTGTTGATGCTGATGTTGTTGATGCTGCTGATGCTGTTGTTGCGGTGGACGCTTTCGTTTCTTCTTCTCGTAACTAATACCTCTTGCTTTCGATTGAAGATCACGAACTTCGCGAAGATAAAGCCTAACAGCTCTTGCACCAAATGGATTTGTATCTGGTTTTCCTCCATTTTCTTCAAAAGCTGCTCTTAAACGACCTATCAGTGCATCGAGGCTTCCCCAAGCTTGTCTTAATGGACATGGACATGGTGCTGGAGGATTTGGATGTCCATAGAAAGGACAAATTGGTGTGTGCACTTTTGTTTTGCCAAATTGATCCAAGTAGCTGCATCAAAATATTAACAAATTCAACAAAGTTCAATAACCCTAGATCTCTTTCAGTGTTTCAGTTCATTCTACTCGAATAATACTCCTTGACGTAAAGATTAAATGAATATATACTAGTTAAAAAAAATGGCATGTAGAAGAAGCTTCACATAGAGAGATCATACCCTAGTTTGAAGAGAAAAAATGAAGTTCATGTAAAGAATTAGAGAATTTTTGTTAGTGATTATTTATTTATATGTTGGTATGTGTACCGGAGAAATTCAAGAACATGTGCACCGCTGCATCTGGAGAGGGAGAGAGGAGGGCGGTGATTCTTGAGGTACTGTCCGAAAGTGTTCCAGTCACGGCGTTTCTGGTTCTCATAGCGGCTGCTGGTGGTGGTAGAACCAGAAGGAGAAGAGCTGCAAACTAAGGTGGTGGTGTTGTGGATGGTGGTGGTGTCGTTGGTGGTGATGGTGCTGTTGGTGAGGCTGCAAGTGTTGTCAGAGTTACATGAGTCCATAAAATCTTGAATTGAATCCATGGATTGTTGAAAATTTGTATAGATCCAGTGATGGTTTGATAAGAAAAACTAGTTTGTTTCTTTGGTTGTTGTTGTTCTAGGGTTGTTAAAAGAGAGTGACAAGAGTGAGTGAGAATAAAGGATGGAGATTGGAATTTATAACTGAGAAGATAAAAGATTGATGTACTAATAATTTGGGGGAAATAATATATTTTAATGGTTTTTCATTTTTAGGAAAAATACTGGTTGAAAGAAAATGAAAAGAAAACAAACTCTGATATGTTGATTGATATTACAGACTGATTTGTTTTCTTGTGTGAGAGAGAGAAAGAGAAAGAGAGGGATTGATTGTATGGTATGGTGTGTAAGGACCTCTTCAAGTGGTGAAGCAAAAGAAGATTTTTATGTTAATTTCAGGATATGTGATGAGATTGATGGGAGGGGTGACTGGACTTTTCCCTTTATTATTTCTTCTTGTTATATTCTTTCTTGACATATTTAAAAAAATCACATAAATACAACGTAAATGGTTAAAACATAGTTTTTTTATTTATTTTTAATTTTATTAAAAATTAGTATTTTCTCTATTTTTTTAATTGTTTTTATTAGGAGTGGCAAAACAAGTCTGATTTGTTGGGTATGTCCGTTTTATCTACACTTTAGTGTTGAACAGGCCAAAAATTTAAGCTCTCATCCTCTAATATGATCGTACCGTCCTGTACCGTTTTCTTCACGATTTTTGTGAGTATAATTATTAACATAAAGTTTTATATTTTTAAGCCTAAAAGATATGATACTCGTAGATTTTTCCTGTCTCACACAAACTTTTTGCGAGACGGACTTAGATATTAGGCTCTCATCCTCATCTATGCTCACCGCACTCTACTCCTTTTTTTTTTGGCTTTTGCATGGCGGGTCTAAACGGAGCGAACATGTCCGTTTGCCACTCCTAATTTTTATTTCTATTTTTTATGCATGTCAAAAAATTAATTATTATTATTATTTTTTAGATTATAATTATTCTTTTGTCTATAATTTTTTTAACTTTTTAATATTTTCATATTTTTTTATATCAAATAATTAAAAATAATTTTTTAATTAAAATTATTATTATTATGAATTTTGAAAATAACAATTAAAAAAATATTTTTTTTAAAAAAAGCGACATTAAAAAGCAATAAAAAGAATAGTAATTTAATTTTAAACTATTTGTGAATTTTATATTAAACATATATAATATTAATATATTAGAATATAATTCTTTATAACAAAAAGAAAATGAATATTTAGGATGGTAAATGAGCATATTTGTCTCATTTAAAGTTGGTTTGATAAGACTATAAAAAGAATTTTTATTTTTTAACTTTTAATTTTTCAATTTATATAAATAAAAAATTGTTAAAAAGAATTTTTATTTTTTAATTTTTCAATTTATATAAATAAAAAATTGTTAGGTAACTGTTTTTAGCTTTTAGTTTTATTATTAGTTTTTAATTTTTTTTCAAAAGTTATTTGAAATAATTTTTAGATTTTGTAACTTTTAATTTATAATTTTTTCTTTCATTTATATATTTATTATTTTAACAAAAAACTTATTATTATCTCTCGATAAAATAACTTATATTATTATCTCTCGATAAAATAACTTTTATATATATATATATATATATATATATATATATATATATATATATATATATATATATATATATATATATATATATATATATATATATATATAAAATTAATGTTTAATATTTTTAATAATATCTAAATTATATAATAAATTTTAAAATAGTGTTGATAATTTTAAAGTTAGTAAAACGTTATAGAAAAATCAATGAGATCAATCTAAACGAATTTTTTTATATATTTTATTGTATTTTATAATGGAATATTAAATAATAAACTTATTCTTATTATTATTTTAGAATAATTTAACTGAATTCAAATTTCATGTATCTCGTTAAATTTTATTATAAAATATTTTTATTAAAATATTTATTTTTTATTTATTTATTTATTTATTGAACATGTCAAACTTTGATTATAATAAAACACAAATACAAGGTGATCTCAAAACGATCAAACCCACATGGTCAAGAGAAAACAAATGTTAACCTATTACATCATAAGAGAAACAATATATATTTTTAGAATACTACTATGTCATCCCCTAAAGATGATGTTATCCATAATGTGTCTTAAGGCTTGCAAGTATTCTACTTTCTCCCCAAAGCAAACTTTATTTCGATATAACCAAATTCCATAAACCGTCTCCGTAATAGCAAGCTTAAACAGAGTGCACCTCCAACCTTTGCCCTTACATTTCTCAATAATCCATGGTAATTTCTCATTCCAAGTCTTCGGGGTATGACTAACATTAATCCAATTAAGCACATCAATCCAAATTGTCTCAAACCAATACACTCAAACAAAATATGATTGATATCTTCAATACTAGAACAAAAGCAGCACTTCGAATCTGTAATAAAATCGAACCTAACAAGCCTCTCCTTTGTAGCTAACTTGTGATGACAGGCCAACCATAATGTGATAACAGCTCAAGGCCTAGCAGAGTTTTTGTAGATGAGAGACTTCCAACTGACCACCGACTCATTACTTCTCAACTGGGAATACACAGATTTCATAGAAAATTTACCAGCACACAACATGGTCTCTCAAAGAAACTGAATAACTTGAATATATTCTCTTGTCACCATAACCCGTTTCATTATCCAAGTGTCATTATCTTTAATCTTACATTCCATGATATCATCATTCTTCATATAATAGGAGTGTATCCACCTAACCCACAAATTATCTTTTTTAGCACAGAGATTCCACAGCAATTTAAGCATAGCTACTTCATTCCAGATAAACAAGTCAATTAAACCAAGACCACCATTTTTCTTGGGGCTACAGACTTGTTTCCAGGCCACAGGACTCTTCCTACTCATCCTATTTGTACCAGCCCAGACGAACGATCTACATATAATATTAATCTTTTGCAGCACCACTTTAGACATAGGAAAACAAGTGAACCAAAAATTATTCATAGCAAAAATAACATATTTAAGGAGTTGAAGTCTATCAGCTGCACTCAATAATTGAGAAGACCAATGCCTAATCCTACTGACAATCTTATCAATAAGGAGCAGGTAATATTTTGCAGCCAACTTCTTAGAAGAGAGAGGCACCCCCAAATATCTGACTGGGAGGCTCCCTTCAAGGAATTTATTAAAATATTTATTTTTATCAAATAAAAATTAATTTAATAATATAATATAATATAATAAAATAAATAAATCATCAATTTTTTAATAAGAATGTCCTTTTATATTATTTTATATTATCAAATAATGTAATAGCTAATTTATTAAATATTCAAATTAACTTATCAATTATCATTAATTAACTACCTATCAATTAATTTTATTAAACATAGTCTTAGTTACGCACTAACAAAATTTGAAGAAAAAAACAGATGGAATGAATTTAATGGAGTGTGCGGACATAAAATATTGGTCCGTTTAAAATAAAAATGAGAATGCGAAGGACATCTAAGTTTTACACCATTAAAGATTAATATTCACTTATACAAAAACTCAAGAAAAAAAGTGGAGCCAACATATTAAAAGAAGGTGTGGATTTAAAATTTCAATCCGACCTAAAAATAAATTTTCCTATATATCTTTTGCGAAATTTTTGACAGAAATCATCACAGTTGATGTTTGTGAGATTTTACTTTTTGAAAAACTTGTAGCTTTTTTTTTTCTTTCCTTTTCTTATTTATAAAAAAAGAATGAATTATTTATTTTTTGCCTTAAAAGGGTGGTGCAAACTAAGACTTTGATGGGTTGTATTAATGGCAATATTAATATTCCTTTATTATGTTGGTGAATAGACAGAGAAGAAATGAAATCGATGGCATTGCTAGGGCTTTTTATGAAAATAGAAAAACAAGGATGTACAGTAGTTTGGGATGGCGACAGGGAAAAGTATGAAAGGTAAAAATTGAGGTAAAGAACATGATTCTGTTTCTTGACACTATAGGTTGAAACTTTGAATGACAGTTCCTTTCTCATTGACTGGAATGCCCCTATTAATTTCCTCCTTTTATTTTAACCCTTTTATTTGCCTTCCCTAGATAGAAAAAGATAACTTCATTTCTTATGCTGTTTTGTCCCTATCTTTACTTCTCACTCACATTCAATATTACAATTGGAAACCAAATCACCATATCACAGACATTTTTGTTTAAAGATTAGGCATATAAAACATGTCCTTGAAAATTGGTCGGGTTACACTTAGGGCCAAATTAAGACAACCTTTCTTTTGTTAGGGTGGATTTAGACTATGTAAAAGGTAAAATATAAAAATAATTGTTAAAGTTTTGAAGTATTCAACAATATTTTTGTTAAATATATTGACTCAGGCTTGAATTTTAGATTCTTTTTGTGAATTTTTAATCCAAATAATCTATTTTTTTCAATTTTATTTCTAAAATAACTCATATTTTAAAATAATTTTTAAAGTACTCTATTTTTCAGTGGAAGCGTCAGGTGAATTAGCGTCTGGATACAAACTTTTAATGAATGTATTAATTGGATTGGCGCCAATGTGTATGTGTTTTAAGTGCAGTAATCACTTCAATTGGCATCTTTATTGAAAATTTATACATATGCGCTAATTCGTCTGATGCTTTTACTGAAAAGTGAGTACTTGAAAAATTATTTTGAAACGTGAACTATTTTAGAAATAAATTTGAAAGACTAGGTTATTTAGATAAAAAAATCTCTTTTTATTGTTCAAAAATTTTGTTTTCAATAATCTTTCAATATCTGCTTTATTTATTTTAAAAGAGGTTTATATTCTATCGAACTTCATTTTAGACGAGTAGAAATCTTCTTCATTTAAAAAAAATGATGGTATCTGTTGTACCCCAAAATTGACCCTCCTATTTTTCTTTAAGATATCTCCTCATTGTTGTACTCCAAAATTTGCCCTCTCATTTATCA